AGGCCTGCCCCTGGGGTAAGCCGGCTATATCAACGAACCACAACACAAGGTGGAATGGATTATGAGCTGCTTCATAGCAAAAGCGTTGTGTTCTTTTGGTCTGGGAGGTACAGAAGAAAAGGAAATCACATCGAACTAGTTGGATGAGGAGAAAATTTCAAAATCTAAGGAAACTGGGGAAAGGGCATGGTAGGTAGCAGAGCTGCCTGGGTGTAGAAATGTATAGACAGTTGGATAATCGAGGATTGGCAAATCGTGTGGGAGAGAGTGAACAAGACAGAGAATGGTGGAATAGTAGGAGAAGGACCACCTTAGGTCTTCAAAATGTGACATCTATGAGAGTCCTACTACCCTTGGCACCCCCAAACTTCCTATCACTGTCTCTTCATCTAGAGTGTCCCCCAAAAGTCTGTGTTCAGAGATGGGGCTTTTGGACTATGGATCATCAAGTACTACACATATCCATGGATTAATCCACTAATACTTTCATATGCTGCTGGGAGGTGGGGCCTGGTTGGAGGGCTAGGTCACAGGGGCTGTGGTGCAGTCAGGGTTTGCAAGGGAATCAACTTAACACAGGACACATAACTCATAGAATTACTTTATAATAGTTACCTATTATAAAGAAGAGTCAAAGGCAAAAAAAGAATGCAGGAAATCTGTCCACACACTAGACCCAAAGAATCCAGCTGTGGGCCTGGATCACATGGCAATATCCTGCGCGAGCCTGGCTGATGACCGAAGCCCAAGGCAATGTCCTCCACGAGTCCAACTGAGGGCCGGAGCCCACAACAATGTCTCATGCAAGTTTGTTTCATGGTTCTGTGCCAGAAAGGCCCCAAGGTCATGGTGGATGCTAGAAGGTCTGTGCCAGCGGGCTGAAGGATCTGTGTCAGCAGGCTGAGGGATCTGCAGCGGGGCCAGGAAGCAACGCTCAGAGTGAGGACCAGCGCTCCCCTGAAAAGTACCACAGCCATCCTCAGTGACAACAAGGTCCTGAGCTCCTCTGATGAGAACAGCTGAGTTCTTATCAGGAAAGCCAGCATGACAAGCTCCTCCAGGAGAGCCAACAGCCAAGGCTTTCTCTCTAGTTCTCCTTTTAGGTCACTGGCAGCAGCCTCAGGTGGGCCCTCCACACCCAGCACACTGATTCAGTTCAGCTGGATGTTACAAGTTGGCCACAAGTTGTCAGTCCACCAAAGGGTGAGACCTGCAAGGGTGGATGCTGTCCCTGGTTCTACTCTGTGTTCCCTACCTGGCCCCTTCTGCTGTGATGTTAGAGTCAACCAACCATGGGCTAAATCTAGGAGTCAAAGTACACTTCTACTCTTTCAAGTTCCAGGTGTTGTGTGTTGTCCCCCTTAGGAAAGTGCCTAGGGTACTTCCTTTGTCTTCCTATCTCTTCCTTATCCTTTTTACTTTCTACTGTTTCCCTCAGACTCTGTAGTTTCGTACCTCTGCTCCTTTCTACTGCAGGGCCCATGAACAGTGCTTTTCTGACCAGCTTTTCACTGTCGGGGTGCATGGGCCACGTGGCTACTCCAAATTGTGTCCTGGCTCCGCAGTCATCACTGTGGTGCTATGTGGTCCTGGCACCCCACCCGACAGCCACGTCTGAGCTGAGACACTCACGCTGCACTTGCTGTGGGCATTGCTCAACGGTAGCGTGTGTGTACTTTCCTCTGGAGGGAGGGCTGTCCCTGAGGAGCTAGAACTTTCTCTAGCGAAGATCAGGTGAGGGGCTATGTCAACCCCTGCTTTGTGCCTCACTGCAGAACACATCTGAGCTACAATTCAAAGTCTTTTTTTTTTTTTTTAAGTTTTTTAACTTAAAGATTTGCCACCGGGGGCAGGGCTGGAGTGTCATGTGGTGCCCAGGGATCAAACTTTGGTCCTCGTGCTTGCCTAAGTTTGCCTAAGCAGGCCCTTTAGACTACTGAGCTATCTCACCAGCCCCTGCAGTTCAAACTCTTGAATCTGTGGGATCAGGTGGTGGCCAACCATTTTACATGCTAGCTCAGCATCTTCCCCTCCCTTACACTGCTGTTCTCATTTCTTTACAGCTGTGTTCTAAGAGCACTCCACCAACAAACCATCCCTCTGCTTCAGAGCCTGATTTAAGATCACCCTGTTGCAAAGCTGGTGCTTGTGCTAACTGACTCAGGAGAGAGAACTGACTGGGTGCAGACCAGCTAAGCTGTTTTCTTGTTGAACACCTGGCCTGGGAATTACTCCAAGTCCAATCCTCTATGGCTGGCGAGGGGCTAGAGTTTACAGAAGATGGGACAGGCATCCTCCTCCTCAATACTTCTTAGATCTATCTTCTTTACTTATCTTTTCACATCTTTCTCTCCCCATCTACAACCCCAGGTTGGAGTTACAGGGTAAAGTTTTCGATGGAGAGAGCAGGAAGCCTGCGGAGTAGTGCTGAGTCAGCCAGCCCACTCTGCAGCTCTAGGCCTCAGGCGCTAAGCGCAGTTAGAGTCAGTCTGTTAACTTCAACAGTTGATTGTTCTTTGGGAAGTAACAGGGCACAATCTAGGCCTTTAGTCCCCGCATCCTTGAATGTAGCCCAGTGCCTGGTCCAGGGCAAGAACACAGACGTTGTATTGATAAAAATGAAATGAATGACCTTAAGATGTGGAGTAGGGTTGGACAGTGTACAATATTCTTGCTGGGAGCCACTTGGCAACACCCCTCCCTTGGTGAGCGCTCACATGCCCCGGCCCTTGGTGAGCGCTTTATGTTTTCCAACCATTATTGCTTCATAGCAAATCGCTCTGACATGCAGCCCATTTGAAACCACCATTTTAGTTTGCGCTTAGCGTCTACGGGTCAAGGAGGTGGACAGGACACCGCGGGTGGCTTTCCTCTGCTCCACAGCGCCTGCGGCCCCCTTGGGAGGGCCACGTCTGGTTGTAACTTGACAGCAGAAGCTGGGCCGGCTGGGAGCATCGTCGGTGGCGGGCCTGGCGGCTCCCACGGCTGTGGCGAGACCCTGGCCGAGCGCTGGCCGAGCGCGCACGCGGCCTTCCGCGGAGCCCGGGCGTCGGCGCACGGTGGCGGCGCTCCCGCGCAGCTGCAATCCTAGCTGGTGGGCTCCGCCGAACAGTGTCCCAATTCCTACGGCAGAAGCCCAGCGGCGCATTTCCGCTGCATTCTGCGGGTCACAAGCAAGTAACAACCCGCCTGGGCAGAGCGGGTGACCGAGGCTCCGCCCGCGGGCGACCGGCTGGGGACAAGGCTCTCAGAGCGCGGGTGCGGCGCGCCTCCTGGCTGAATCCCCTTGTTCTTGAGCACAGGCGTTATTTGTCTTTTCAAATGGAGTGCGGACAGCGCAGTTAGGCAACTTGCTGCCGCGCAAAGCCAGCGCCTGGCACAGCTGGATATAAACCCAGTCTGTAAAATCAGCTGTTCCCAACAGCATGTGATTCTGCTTGTTGAAAAAGAGCACCGCGCTCAAGTAAGAGGCCTGCAAGGCCTCTTGCTAGCCTTGGTGCAGGGCGTAGCCCGTCCTAGGTGCAGGGGCAGGGTGGGTGAGTGTTGTTTTCCTCCATAGCCCTGACGTCAGAGCTAATACTTTTCTGTCTGGATAAAGAAATCTGGCGCTTGTTCTCGTAACCCCGGGGGGTTGCTGCCAGGAGGCTGTGTAAATACTGGCTGTGCCTTTGACGCGTAGGTCTGCCAGATGCGGGCTGGGCGGAGAGGCTGCCGCCTGTCTCCCTCCCTTTACCCAGCAGCATGGCAAAAGAGGCTGGGGGACAACGGGTAGGAAAGCCCCGAACCTCTCTGTAAAGGCAGCACACACAACCACTTTCCGCCAGGAATATTTTCTCTGCCATAATCCTTTTTTTTTAAAAAAAAAAAATCATACTTTCCCTTTAAATTTCAACAAGCATGACAATGTCCCGGAAGTTATACTTGACACTCCGGTGACACATATAATCTGAAATGATCACATGACTCCTGGCACTCCCTGCTTAGTCTGCTGGACTTTGTGTTATAATCTAGTTCTTTTAAGACTCCAGAGGGCAGCCGTCAGAGCCGGCTCTTCCGTATTACCCCCCACCCAGTCATACTCCATTCTTATAAGGCCCAATAGAGACTGGCTGATTGGCCTCATAGTGTTCGTGTGAGAGAAGAGCCCATCCACTTCTTCTAAGAGCCCGAAATACCACAGGCATTGTGCTAGGAGCCAAGGACCCAGATAATCTAGAAGCAGGAATCTGGAAAAATCAAAGATGGGCTTTCCGGCCACTGTGCGGTTCGTGAGTAACATCAAAATTGGCCCCTGAACGTGCAGCACCCTTGATCAGATCAGGGGCCTTCCTAGTAGAGAGATTTGAGGCAAGTGACATAAAGTTATAACTTCTATATGCTTCTAGATGATTCTAGAATCAGACATTTAGAATCTCTGAACAGGGATTTTTAGATCCTAAAGCTTAATTTTAAAGTCTTTCTATAAATTGTCTGAATGATGTATTTTAGCCTGGGCTAAATAAAGATGGATTTTCCTCTTTATTTCAAATTAGACTTTCTGTAGTGGCAAAATTTCCTACTCTTGTTTTAATTTGTTAAAACTTGACTTCAGAATGGCCCTAAAATCCATGACCTCTGGAAACACCTTGGAATGTTCCAAACCAGCTGGTGTGGCCATAGATGGACCTGTTTGTAAATTATGGGGTAACCAATCCCATTGTCCCATCTTTACTCATTCTTCACACTGTAAATTCTAGATACGATATAATCTTATTGTATAAAACTATTTCCTCAACATACCCTCAATAAGAATAAACAACTCCTGTAAATAATTACCTTTGGGATATGAAAGAAAATGTAAACATTTTATTTGGCAGTTGCTTCTGAACACATGAATAAATAAATGGAAAAGTACATATTAATATTTCTTTTGGGGGTAACAGATACCATTAAACACTTATTTACACATCTTCACTGCAAAGAACAGTTACACAATTAAATTTCGTCCTGTGAAAGGTAATTTCCCATACCACTGGATTGGGCAGCTAGGGACGGAGTGCTGGAGCGCTTGGTTCTAGCAGTTTCAGTGTTTGAAAGGCATTCATCTGCACGTGTGGTGAGAGTCGCCATGCACTGACTTCACCCAGGTCATGTACTGTAGAGAGTTGATGGCAGCCACAGGATTTGGTGTCTCATGCGCTTAGGTCAACTATCACATGTTTGTAAATCTGTGTGTTTCCCTTAAAACTGGAAGCAAAAAGAAAATTACGCTTGTTAATGGACACATGTGTGAATGATCTTGGTGCCTGCACATTTAATTCTTGAAATTTCACAAATTTGGCTTTTTCTGCATCCCAGTTATACACTTGAGTGAAGGAATAATCACTTCCAAGAATTGCGTATTGGTAATTATTTATCTGAAGTGGCTGGAACACCATAGATCCTCGCGACGGCATCCTCTGAATGTCCTGGAAGGAGGAGCCTCCCCATTTCATGACTTTGGAGTCACCAATAAATCTTGTCAAACAAATGTACACATCACCTTTCACTGAGAAGTGCTTCACTGCATAGACGTCTTCCATGTTAGGAATATCAGTTTGGTTAGTGAATAATTGTGTTGCTTTGTTCCACTGATAAATTACAGGACGCTGGGAACTACTGGACAAGATTAAATGAGGTGTTCTAAGTGTCAAAGGTGTTCTGGCTATTTCTAAATATTCCACGTCAGTGTCCCTGTACCAGGCATGTAATGATTGATGGGAGTAGAATCCATTTCCGTTCCATTTATAAATGGTCGTAAAACCAGCTTTTGAGCTATCAGCAACAACAAAGTACCAGTTGTTTTCAATCTTGAATGTTTCTATGTCGTTCGGTTTTCGGATTTTGAGAATTTCAATATCCTGGATTTTTATGAATTTGTTTGCAAAACCATCTCGCTTATAGATATGGGAGCCACCAAACAGCTGGGCCACAATAACGTACAGCTGAGTTTCAATGACTATAGGCTTGCACACTACAGTGGATGTGCCTGGGAAGAGACAAATGAGAGGTTAGTTGTGTGAGTATCCAATGTGGAACAAGTGGACATCCGGGCTGGAGCCATATAGCCGCTACCAAAAGTTGTCCTGGGACAACAGGGCTTTCTGATTGATCAAGCAAGGCCAAACTCCAAGGCCAGTAGCAGAAGTATCTTGAACTTCTGTACCTTTTTGTTGCAGGCAGCCTGAGTTAGATACAAAATTAAGCAGTCAGACAGGGTCAGGCCCACGAAGGAGATAACAAAGACCAGACACCTTACAACTGTGGAAGATGCTCCTGCTGTGAGCCAGACCTAAAGACCAAACCAATGCTAACCTCCCTAAAGACTGGCATCCAGGATTGCTCATTACTCAGAACGAATCATTGTCTGAAGGCCACCAGATAAGCTCCTGTTTTACATTCATGCCTGCTTGTTATGTGACTCGCTACCCCATTTGGTCCTGGGCCTAATCAACTTTACCTGAGCAATGGTGTTTGTAATCCCACTGGTTGACCATAGTTTTGTCCCGCCCCACATCCACCTAAGTGAGTTCCCATTTTCTACACTATAAAAGTCCCTGGATGAGACAGCTTTCTGGAGAACTACCTGCTCGGACCCCCCTCCTGTCCCTCTCATGGACAGGAGCTTTCTTTCTCTCAATAAATATGTTCTGCTCATAACCTCTGTTTGTTCCTAAAATTCATGCTTCGGTTTTAAAGAATACAAACTCGTGCAGGTCAGGTCGGGAGATCATTTTTCCCTGTGTCATTTGGAGGTTCCCTGTATCGGTTAGAAGTCACCCACCCGAGATCAGCTTTTCTCCCCACAAGGCCTTGTTATGAATGATCAATTTGGCATGTCTCACCCAAGCTGCTCCGGGTGCTCAGGACACACTGACGCAGCCCGAGTTTTCTCCTCTTACTTCTTGCAGAGAGAAAAGCATTGCTTTCCCTGACATATGAGCTAATTGTAGTAATTCTAATGAGAGGCCACCACGTACTGAGAATTTGCTGTGCGTTTTATCAAGTTATTTAATTAAGTGTGCCCAACAATTGTTAGAGGTAAGTATTATTATCTTCTGTTTTTCTAGATGAACAAACTGAATCTCAGAGGAGACTGAGTCCTGCTGCCAGGTGGAGGAGTAGCAGCTTGCTGTCTGCTGTTGCTCCTCCACCACCTCGAGCTGGTGCCCTCTCCGTGTGTCACCCTGCCTTGGAGCCAAGCCTAGAATGGACTGAAACCTCCATGGACTGTGAGCTGAATAAACTTTCCCTTCCTTAGCTTTGGAAGGATTTCTTTTTTTGGTGGTGGTAGGGTGCTGGCTCAGGATGACTTAAGGGCAGGTCTGGTAGGGCATGAGGATCTGGGGATTGAACCACAGTATCCTGAGCCTGACTTCCTTAATTTTGGGTGTCTGGTATTTTGTCTCAGCAACAAGAGAAAAGTAACAAAGACAAAGAGGAATCCTTGAAAAGAGTGAAATAGGGGTACAGCTATGGGTAATGTGCCAGAAATTATCATGTACCTGAGGCATATTTTGGGAAATTTCAAGTAATGATAAAGGGGTCTGTCAGTGCCCTAGGCTGGTATCACCTTTCTTTTTTGTGTGTTATGTTTAGTTTTATTCTTTTGATACATGGTCTCACTAAGCGGGTTTGACTCATAGTAATCCTCCTGTCTCATCTTCCCTAGAGCTGGTGTTGCAGGTAGCTGAATTAGATAAAAATATTGTAGGCAGTCAGACAGGGCCAGCCCTCAAGGAGACAAGATGGAAGACAAGGTAACTTTGAAACTTAGAAGAGACAGACACTCCCTTATGGGCCAGACCTTAAGATAAAAGAGAAAACAAATATAGCTATATACTTCCCTAGGGAGAGGCACCAGGGATTGATAGTCTATATAGGTATCAATCACCTTGAAAGAGCCCAAATGAGCCACTAGCCCAACCCCCAACAGGAAGAGACCCTGTCCCTTATCCAACTCCCAATAGGAAGAGACCTTGTCCCTTATTCATGCCTGTTTGCAATGTGACTCCCTTCCCCATTTGGTCCCAGACTTAATCAATTTTACCTGAGCAGTGGTGCTTGTAATCCCATTGGTTGACCATAGTTTTGTCCCACTCCATATCCACCTAAGCTAGTTCCTCCTTTCTCCATCTTAGCCCATCATAGTTTTACACTATAAAAGTCCCTGAAAGAGACAGCTTCCCAGGAACTACCTGCTCAGGCCCCCCCTGTTCTTCTCTCAGACAGGAACTTTCTTTCCCTCAATAAATATATTCTGGGGCTGGAGAGATGGCTCAGTGGTCTAAAGCACCTACTTAGAACAAGCTTAGCAAAGCACAGGGACCGCGGTTCAATCCCCCAGCACCACATGCCAGCTAGCCCCGCCCCCTGGTGGGCTGAGCTGGCCACACACACACACACACACACACAAAAAAAAAATTAAAAATAAATAAATAAATAAATAAATATATTCTGCTCATAACCTCCATTTGTTCCTAAAATTCATTCTTCAGTTTTAGAGAACACAAACTTGTGCAGGCCAGGTCAGATCATTTTCCCTATGTCACTTGGAGGTTCCCTGTATCATTTGGAGGTCACCCACTTGAGATCAGTTTCTCTCACTGTATCACTGGGATTACAGGTATGCACCACCATGCCTAGATTTTGGGTTGGCACAGCATGCCCGGGTTTCTGGGGCCAGTGCAGCGTGTGATACTGAGAATCAAACTTGGGTTCCTGTGCTTGCCAGGCAGGCACTCAGATGACTGAGCTATCTTCCAGACAGTGTCATTTTTCTAAGAGTTTGACATGTATTAATAGTCTGTGATCTCTTAGCGAGAGGTTAGTTCTAGAAAATTCAAAGACAGGTAGAGCAAGTTTGGACCCTGAGCTTTACCAACGACAGCACCGAGGCAGAAAGCTCTACATTAGTATTTAATGCTAATTGGGTCCACCCACAGCCAAATTACTTTTATTTGTGACTCTTTTCAGAACTAAATTGATTATGTGAGCTTGGAAGAAGCCCTTAACATCTCTTGGGTTCAGTTTTCTTGATCCTGTACAATGAGAGCTTAGAATTGATCAGGGATTGAGAGCATCACCATATGCTGAGTAATCACTGACTGAATGTGACTATCCAGAGAGCCTGGGTGGACAGAGGTTCTGTGGCTGCATCTACCCTGCAGAAGAAAACACTACGACGGAAGAGCAGTGTCTGTCTGCAGGGAGAGAGCACGCAGCCACTTCGTATCTTACACAAATTTGTCATCTGACTTGGACTTGAATGTTCATACACCTTCAAGGTTCACGTTGAAACTTAAACCCCAGTGAAACACTGTCTTCAAAAAGGATCCTAAAAGGATCTCAGTTTGAAGGGATTCCTTTATCTGGGTAACCTTAGTCTCGAACAAGCCCCAGGCTGTTTGGGGCCACCAATAGAACTTAATGATGATCCTTTGCGCCTAATTTGATGGGTGACTTTTTTTATTTTATTTTATTATTTTATTTTATTTATTTATGTGTGTGTGTGTGTGGCCAGCTCAGCCCACCAGGGGGCGGGCTGGCTGGCATGTGGTGCTGGGGGATTGTACCGTGGTCCCTGTGCTTTGCTTGGCTTTTTCTAATTAGGTGCTTTAGACCACTGAGCCATCTCACCAGCCCAATGGGTGACTTTTTATGAGGAGATTGGAGAACTCTTAGAAGTAGATCAGAAGGGGTTCCAGGTGAGTGCTGATGTGAACATATCAGAATTGTTCTAATAGTTGTGACAATTTAAATAATGTTGAAAAGAGAAAGTTGTGAGAGCATCTAAATAATAATTTTCATGGAAGAAACCATATTCTATGATCAAGTTAAATGTGAAGAATATTAAAAATAGCTTTCTTCATTGAATACCCCTCAAAATTCTCACTTTGATGAATCTCAAAGTGAGACATAAAGTTTATAGATTTATTGGACTAGAGCATTTTGTTACAAGGTATATATTAATATTTTGTAAAAGAAATATCTGTATAACAGAGCTCGAGGCGTGTTTATCCGCAAAAACCTTATTTCACAGTTAAGAAAAAAATGGGAAGCCCAGTGAGAATGAATGGCTTGCATAGCTACACTAGAAATTGGTATCTTTTAAAAAATCATTTGCCTTTTATTATGTATTTAGTATGATGGGCCTGTGCCGGGTTTCTGGTACCCATGAGCACAGGATCTTGTCAACAACTTCACCAGGTAGGTGCTGCTGTGAGTCAAGGATGGAAGCTGAGAGGACAATCCCAGACTGCTCCATGAATGATGAACTTTTGATTCGATTGATTCGGAGGCCTGCTGAAGGCCTCCCTCTGCCACACAGCTCACCCTGCTCACCCTGACAAAAGCGGCTTAGTTTCCCACTCAGAGTGTGACGAGGTTTTCCATACCTGTGATGTTGTCATAATTCCGGAATGTCTTTTCTACGTGGTCCCATTCAAGGAAAATGCATTTTCCAGTAAAAGGTTGAGCAATGACAACATACTCATCATTCATGTAAGAAAAAGTGTCTATGGACAGTGATTGATAAGGCAGGTCTTGAGACTTGGCGAATTCTGCAAAAATGGAAAGGATGATGAGCCATTGCAAACTGGTTTTATTCTTTTTCTTCAGCTAGATCTCAAATATGAAGCATGTTTATTTTCAAGAAATAGTAAGGTGACATTTTTATTTTTCTTTTAAACACATGAAGTTTTAGTGGCTCATGATTTTTTTAATTGAATTTCTCAGTTGGCTTTTAAGGTATTAAAAATCAGTTCCTGAACACACAGAAAAGCAGGTAGTTCTTATTTGAATTTTATGCTGTACACTGATTTTGAGTACATTACCTGTGATGACACAGTCAAAGTCCTTGGAGGAAAGGCTATTGATCTTGCGCTTCTGGTGCTCTGGGGGTCCTTCACAGTAGATGTCCTCAACGGTCGCGTTGGTGTGGCTGAGCCACTCCACCAGCCACTTCAACTTACAGTCACAATTAAATGAGTTCCCTCTTAGGTCCCTGCAAGACAAACCTCTGCTGCTTTTGTGGTACAAGGGCTCCGGAAGGCCACAGCATGACTTCCTTCACAGCAGTCAGTACTGCAAAGTTACCATACCCGGCTCCCATGTCCCATGAGCTGCCTTGGACCTGTGGCCACCTAGTGCAGGCTCAGAGAGCGGCCACCGAGCACGTGTGAAGGCCTCCCTAGTCACTGCAACCATGCAGTTCACTCTCTTGGATCCAAAGGCAGTTTATTTTGGAGCAAGTGCCATCCAGTAGTGTGGAAACCACATAGAGTTTACATTTTTCTTTTTTTTGTTTTGTTTTGTTTTGTTTTTTTGGCGGAACTGGGGATTGAACTCAGATCCTTGCATTTGCCAGTGAAGCGCTTATCCTACTGAGCCATCTCCCCAGCCCCGAGTTTACATTTTTCTAAAGCTGCATTAAAATGTTTTAAAAAGGCATAATTAATAGTATGTTTTATTTAGTTTTGTATATTAAAATATAATTTGGATGTAGTCAATATAAACATTATTGAGATATTTTATACCCTCTCTTATATTGTCTTTGAAGTCCATTGTGTATTTTCTATTGACAAGATATCTTTTTTTTTTTCTCACATCAGATGGGTAATGTGCCCACGTCGTAACAAGGTTTGAGGGAGGCACATCTCATGCGTAAGGCATGAACACCCAAATCTCATGCGTAAGGCATGAACACCCAATCATCACACTCATGAACTGAAGGAGCCAACTTTTTTTTTTTTTTTTGGCGGTACCAGGGATTGCACTCAGGACCTTGCACTTGCCAGGCAGGCACTTACGCCACTGAGCTATATCCCTGGCCTAAGACATCTTAAATCAGATGCTAATTTCTTATCAGAAACATGAGATTTATTTATTTATTTATTTATTTTCATTTGTGTGTTTGGTACAGGGTCTCACTATGCAACTCAGACTTGTAGTGATCCTCTTGTTTTCAGCCGCCCCAGCACTAGCATTACAGGTGTGCGCCACCACGCCTGGACTCGTGGCTGGCTCAGCATGCCGGTACAGCATGCGGGACCTGGGATTCAAACTTGGTCCTGCTAGAAGTTTCGATTTATTAAAGTCTAGTTGGTCCAAACATATCTAAAAGTTTTTTCAATAATTGAACTGAAAACAATTTGTAAATTTAAGTTGAAATTTTGAACAATTCGGAAGGGGTCTAGCTTGGCAGTACAGTGTGTGTGTGTGTTTGAGCCCTTGAGCTCCCCAAAGGGAAGTCTGTCGTTCAGCTCCCCAGCTTCCCATTAGCCAATCTTAAGGGTTGAGCAGCTGTAGTGTCTCGCAGCTCTACTGGACAGCACAGTGCTAGAGGACAGAGTGCAGCGATTCTTGTGTCACTTAATTAAATCAAGTGAGCTCTTTGCTTTGCTTCTTTCTCACACATACAATTAACTCTGATCCTATTCCATGGTCTGCAAATTCAGTTTTAATAGGAAGTGACTTTGCCACAAAGTCATGAATTATGTATGTTCATGCTTTTATTAAACAATATAGTATAGTTGGACATTTTCACAAAGGACCCTAACTCACCAAGTTCTCTGCTTTTTGGTTTGTTTTTGGCCATTGCTTCTGTTTAGGAATTCCATTTCCTTTTATGGTCCCACAAAATTTCTTTCTTTCTTTTTTGTATTTTAGTACAGGGTCTACAAGGTCTCACTACATAGATCAGACTTGTAGTGATCTGCCTGTGTTTAGCCCCCCAAGAGCTGGGATTACAGGCGCGTGCCACCACGCCCAGTCTCAATCACCATCTCCCCGCACCCCAGGGAAGGGCCGGCATGGCACTTTGGGAATCGAACCCTGGCTGCTGCATCTGCCTAAGTAAGTGCTTTAATCCCCTGAGCTATTTGGCCAGCCCACACAAAATTTTTAAGGTAGGTCCTCCTGTGTACTCTGCATGTAGTACATAAATAATTTCTAAACACCCAAGCATTTAATGTTTTTTTTTTTTAGGGGATACATTCAAGATAACCAAGAAATCCAATAAAAGGCAAATTGGCCTGGATCCTTATAGGTCTAACGTAATTCTTGATTTGGGCATGGTGGAGTAAGTCAAGAAACCAAACCTGTTATGGAATTCCCTAGATGGGCTGAGCCAATTTCAAGTGGTTAGACTGACCCAGGATGGGATAGAAGGTCCTTCATGAGCTGTAGCCCCCATCTGTCGTGAACTATCCTCCAAATTCCAAGGCATTCCCTGGACAGGCTTCCAATCTGAAGAGTACTCTGATCAAGAATAATGAATGCCAACCCTTCTGGCTATTGTAAGCCACAGGAGATAGTTGGTTTGTGCAAAACTCTTTTAGAAGTGACTTGATTTTTGCACTCTCTTGGAAATAAATCCCCATTCAGGAATCAGGGTAAGAGGCATGAAGGAGGGTTTGGGGGACTACTGCAGAGAACAAAGAAAGTTTTTCATTAGCTTCCTGATTTGAAGTTAAAGACTGGGCTTAGAAGAAAATACTTGACTCAGATTTTGTTTGTTGTTGGAGAAAATCTGTTTTGAATATACACTCGAGAACAGTGGTGGTGAACTGTGGTGGTGAACCTATGGCATTTTCTTTTAAGACAAAAGACGATAATGTATAATGTTTTTTCTAAAGTAAAACTTCAGTATTCAGGTTTAATTGTAGTGCTGGCATTTGGCAATAAGTCAGTTTTGGGTTACAATTTGACTATTTATCTCTAAAAGATTCACCATTGCTGCTCGATAGCAAAGCACCTAAAGATTAAAAAAAAATCTTTGTTTTCATGTATTCTTTTATTTGTTCCTATGTTCTACTTCATGACATAAAATATCCTGAAAAGTCTCTTAATGAAGCTAAATTGTTTTTGAGAGGGCTAGGCATATAGTGCTTGCTTTGCTTACAGCAAAATATACAAATTCCTTGCAAAGATCTTTCATTCAGAGGCTTAAAAGTCAAAGTTTGAAAGCTCTTTTGTTTGAAAAGGGGTCAAAAATAATTAAGTTCATTCCCTTCGTGGGGCTTAAGCCAAATTCCTGGGGATTAGGCTTGGAGTTGTTGTTCAGTCTAATGAGAGAAAAGGCAAACTTTCCTCCCTACCCCCACTTCCTGCTCCATTTGTTGACTGACCAACCCATGGGTGTAACCTTTCATCTTACTCTGTCAGTTTCCCAGACTTTATGTTTTTTCTTTGGAGCCCGATTTCCTGGACCTCAGGAGAAAAAAAGGGATCTTGGAATTTCTGTCAGAATCTCCTCTTCCTGGCCCTCAGGGACCCTTATGGTCACCCTGTGCAGACAGACACACACTTTGTCAAGGGAATGCCCGG